TGAAGTAGTAGTTGTTGTGGATATTTGTGATTTGTAAACTAAAATTGTTTGAAACATTTATTAATCAAGATCAAGGAATAAGATAATAAAGAATTGCATGGGAGATTTATTATCTTAAAGTTTTATACTTTTCCAAACCATCTCCAGTTTTATAGCATTAAACTTTTTTATGATACTCTTTCCTATTAAACTCCTTTCTGTAGTTTTATCTATGTAGTATGTTATAAAACTGATATTAGCAAAGGTTTGGGGCACAAGGTATTGGCAAATAGTGAAAAAGTAAGATTTTTCTTTATGTGAAATTCATGTAAAGCATGAATAATACAGTCACTTGTTTTAGCATCAAAACAAGTGTTTTGGAATATGTGCAATTCATTTTCATTCACAATTTCAAATGAACATTAAATGTTCAGCTATTTATTCATTTTCACAAGTGATAAAGCTGTTCACAAAATATTATTTCACAGACATTACAACCATTTATTTGGGCTTCTGCATGAAATCTGTAACTTTATTAGAAAAAATTGTTATTTTTATGTTTTAAATATCTGTTGAACATCGTAATAAAAATCATTTCTCTTTGCAGGCTTGAAGACTATCGTGGGAGCCCTAATTCAGTCTGTGAAGAAGCTCTCAGATGTAATGATCCTCACTGTGTTTTGTCTGAGTGTATTTGCACTAATAGGGCTGCAGCTGTTCATGGGCAACTTGAGGAATAAATGTTTGCAGTGGCCTCCAGAAAATTTTACTTTGGAAACAAATATTACTTCACTGTTAAATAGCACAATAGGTGAAAATGATACACTTGTTAATACCACAGTGACTGAATTTGACTGGAAGGGGTACATTGATGATGAAAGTAAGTACTGCTGACAGCACTTCTTAAGTTATTTGTGACTGAAAAAGTTTTAAAAAATGGATGCAAGTAGCTTGTGTAGACATTCAGACAGTATAACTTTAAGTTCTCGATGTAAATCTGACACAATAGAACTGGATTTGTCAAAAAGCTAACAGATAAACACTTTTTAAAAAATTGAATTTTATTTTCACTAAACTTTGACTAAAAGCATTTTGGTAGTACAGTGGAGCTGCCAATCTTGTACCATACAACAAACTGGTTTTATCCTTGACTTCCTTGAAGAAATGACATTTATGAAAAGGCAAAACACTAACACACATGCACTCTTTAGCTGTGAGTTCTTTAGCTATTAGGTAAAAATGTAAATTAATAACTGTCCAGACTTTGAGAGGATCCTTTCTTAAAGTTGATAAAACTAAAGCCAACTTACTCCATCTTTAAAAAAATAAATAAATGGGATTACCTGCATAATCATAAACCAGTCATCCTGACATCAGCTGGTTTGATTGGTTTGGTCTGAACAAAATAATGGGAATAACTGATATGAGGCTTAAATAATAAATATTTAGAAGAGGGTAATATAATTAATGTCAATCAACATGTGCTAATAGAAAACAGATCTTGCCAAACTAACGATACTTTTTTATTTTGATGAATTTACAAGTTTTCTTGATAATGGTAATAATGTTGATGTAACATCTTAGGCTATGTATGCACTAGAGTCACAGAAGTAATTGTGGTCTTTCATGAAGATAGCTGATATAGCTTGGATACTGGTCTAAACCATTCCCTGTCGCAATAGTGGCTAGACTGCCAGCATTACCCAAGCTAGCTTACCTAAATTCATCTCTTGTACCTCACTATGCTACAGTGAAATCTCCTCAGTGACTCCTCTATACATCCTTTAACTAGTTGTTAGATTTCTGTGAGGTTTGTCACTTGCCACCATTTACCATTTCAAATGAAAAACATAGATTTATAAAAGGGACAAAGTGAGTACATTAAAAACTGGCTAATGAATGGGTCACATAATATAACTGTAAATCCTTTGTGACTAAATGTAGAACTAGTGGGATCCTGCAAAAATCATTTCTGGCTCCTATACTATTTTATTTTGTTTTTTTCTAATTAACTGGAATGAAACAAAAAGAGCCAGATCCTATTCCACCTATCAGATGCATCAGTGGATTTAGGCACCTAAATCTGATTCTGTTCTGTCCTGCTGGAGTCCTTGCAAAAGGGTTAATACAAAAGATGAGTGTGTCTTTTCCTGTTTATTGCTTTTCTGTGATTTAGTCTTAAGTCTAAATGTAGATGTACATTTTGGGGAACTTGTACAGGGTGGGTTGGATCATACCCAAGTCTACTTAGCTCTCCAATAGGTGAAGTAAAATCTGGCTCAAAAGTCATTACTCATCAAGTTTTCAGACTACATAGAAAGACTGGAGGAATGGTAAGTAATGAGGACAGGTTGCTGATACAGAGGCACATATAACCCTTGTTATCTGGGTATAAGCAATAGGTATATATTTTGCTATGGCCAAACACAGTCATAAACTTGGGAAGGAAGCCATACTTGCAGGGTGCTAGATCCTATCATGGGAAGTACTGACTCTGAAAAAACGTGGAGGCAGTGCTGATGGACAGTCAAATGAATATGACCTCTCAGTGCAAGTCTGGGGCCAAAAAAGCTAGTATCTTTGGATACATAATTAGAGGATATGGGAAAAAGTAGGAAGTTTATAGTACCCTTGAATTGAACACTGGTGAAACTGAAATACATTATTCAATCACTGGTATTCCCAATTCAAGAAGAATGTTGAAAATTGGAATGATTACAGGAAAAAACCACAGAATGACTAAAAGATTGGAAAATGTGACTTGTAGTAAAATTTTCCAGAAGCACAGTATGCACAGTGAATCCATAAAAGGTTTTAAGAACTGATCGTATTACAACAAACGTATCTGCATAGAAAACAAATTTGATCAAAGTGGACTCTTAGATCTAACAAATACATAACAAGGGGGTTGTGGGGAGAGGGATTTAATGGGGGGGGTCTACTACAGACCCCCCAACCAAGGGGAGGAGCTGGACCGGGAATTTTCGGGCCAGCTTGCAGAGGCACTTAAGGCAAGGGATGTAGTTGTCATGGGTGATCTAAATTACCCGGACATCTGCTGGGAGGAGCAGTCAGCCAGGGCGGACCATTTCAGGAGGTTCCTGGCCGAGATACAGGACCGCCACTTAACCAAGGAGGTGCACAGTCCCACCAGAGGGAATGCCCTGTTGGACTTGGTCCTGGCCACAGGTGATGATCTGGTAAGGGGGCTCCAGGTCCTTGACCACCTGGGTGATAGAGATCATCGCTTGCTGGAATTTGTCATCCAGTGCAGGATGACAAGGGCCAGCAGCAAGGCAGTAACCCTAGACTTCAAGAGGGCCAGCTTCAATGAGTTGAGATTGGTGGGAGAGGCACTGGGGTTCTTGAGGGCAGGGGAACTCAGTGCCCAAGATGAGTGGTTGTTCCTTACGGAGACGATACTCAGGGCCCAAGGGGTGATGATCCCAACAAGAAGCAAGGGGGGCAAGAATGCCCAAAAGCCCCCCTGGCTCACCAAGGATGTCCGGGAAGGCCTGGTTGTCAAAAAGGCTGTGTACACCTGGTAGAAGGGGGGCGTGATCTCCAAAGAGGAGTATACCTCCACTGCTCGGGCCTGTAGGGGGCCTGTTAGGAAAGCTAAGGCGGACATAGAGCTAGGACTAGCGTCCAAGATCAAAGATAATAAAAAGTCCT